ATGTACTGTACTTAGTTTGTAGAAAATGGGAACTTAAATGTGCTTTTATCTTCATCAAAAACTATATGCATTTATAACTAATAACTCATTTTACTTGTCAATGTATTAGAATGATATAAGAAAATATAATTTATATTTATATATAATTTGGTATCTTTAATATACACATGTACTTAGTTTGTAGAAAATGGGAACTTAAATGTGCTTTTATCTTCATCAAAAACTATATGCATTTATAACTAATAACTCATTTTACTTGTCAATGTATTAGAATGATATGATTTAAGAAAATATAAAAATAATATTAATACTGTCAAAAACCTTTATACCAGAAAATATTGTGGTTTATAATTACTCTTTCAAAGATGAAATATGAAAATTTAAATAGGTTTTTATAAAGACTTCTCTCACCTCAATTAATTTACAATGGGATAACTATACATATTTACCTTTTTTTAACGATTTAAGCACCAGTCATTCCCCCAGATCCACTTTGGTTGGAAGATAATTCCTAATTCCACAGGTTCACTTATTTAATGGCACATGTTGACTGAAAGGAGTTGCTTTAATTCCTAGCACTACAAAAAATAGTGTTTTAAGTTCTCTCTCTTCTGAGCCAGCTCATGTTTTTACACACTAAGTCTAGCACTGAAATAAGACTTTTAAATATTTGCAAGTAGTCTTAACAATTATTTCATACATTTAAAGAGCACTGTATGGATAATGCCTTTGGCCAAATGTAAAAATATCAAACTTGTGTATTCAAATGTAGTGTTGGCCACAGGGGAGCACAATCCACTAAAAAAAATGACTATGTTGAGCTTTAGCACAGCTTACAGGCGGATTGCACCCCCAGACTTGGCCAGGAAAAAATTGTGAGAACTGTTTTTGCTTGAATGAAATAACTGGAAATAGCAGTTTTGCCGTTGGTTTTGCACCACTTCTGTGACAAAGACCTCATGTGGCACGTTAAAAAAAGGAATCCAAGTGAAGACGTTGTATCTTGTTAGTTAGAAATATAAACAAAATGAGTGTTGAGCAAAACTGCTAGATTCTGCTTTGAAATACTCAAATTTGTTTTCGCAAGAAATGGTAACTATAAATCTATATGAAAAAATAGCTATAAAATACAGTGTATTCTGTGTGGTAGTAATGTAGCCATTGGTTAGCAGGGTAGTCCATATGCTTTGAAAACGTCACAGTTTCCGCTCTGTTTTGTGTAACACCTAACATCTTGGCACCGTTTGCTCAGCGCTGTTAAAAAAGGGGGAGTCGGGGTGGTTTTTTTTGGGGGGGGGGAAGAGAGAGAATGAGAAGGGAGGGAGGGAGAATCACCACTAGAAGCTGTCACTTCACAGAACCACCAGGAGACAGCCACCATGGCACAACGGCAGCACAAAGGGAAATGCACGTCACACCCAAGACTTTGGTCCGGCTAGGAAGAAAAGCCCCCACCCACTCACCCATCCACCCACCCCCCTCAGTACTGATGCATGTAGGATGGCCTGCGTTCGTGCTTGACGGGAAACTGTTTGAAGCCCTTGTTCATCTGCTTGTGCTGAGGCGGTGGCAGCGGCGGGGATTGCTGCTGCTGCTGCTGTTGTTGCTGCTGCTGCTGCTGCTGCTGCGTGTAGGCAAAGGTGGAGGAAATCCCTGTCGATGGAGTGCAGTCGTTGGCGGTGGACCAGACGGGCGACGGGAGGATCGGCATGGTGTCGTTCCACTGGCTGGCAGGGTGGTTCATCTGGTACAAGGACATGCTTTGGCTCGGGGGGAGCACGTGCTGCCAGGGAGCCTTCGGAGGCCAGGTTTTGGTTTTATTGTCCTGCACGGGAGACCAGGGACAACTGGTGAGCTTCCTTCCTGCGCTGCCTTTCCCCCCCGCCTCCCCAAGGTTTGGTCCTGCTGCAAAGGCCACCCTGTGCAGGACAAGCTCTCTTTCCAAAAGGATGAACGGCCACTGCGCAACGGGATCACAAGAGATTGCATCTCTCTGTCCGCGCCCGCCTCCGCTGACTCCCAAGTCTGGCCTACTGCCCCCCATCTCATAGTATGGCTGAACAGTTCACTTTGTCCCTTCTAAGCGATGCGCCGAGCCGGACACTCGCGAGTCCATTCAAAACCAGTCCTGCCAAATCAGCAGAACTGGCTCTGCATGCCTTCTCTCAGCTTAACCAAGCATTATGAAGCCAAATAATCCAGAAACTATTGTTTATATCAACAGTTGACTGTATTTTCTACTGATGGGCGAGAGAATTGGAGGGCCCCTTCTTCCCGTCCCTCCCTTCCTGTGTTAGCTCCTCCTTCGATCCTTGCTGGGCCTTGTAACCACCCCACCCCACCCCAATCCCGATGCCTCTTTGCCTCCCTTCCTGCCTGAGGTTCCAAAACACAGGTAAGGGACGTTGAACACACTCCGCTGCGCCTCCTGTCACATTGAGCAAGACTTCCTGCCCCACCCCCCCAAATGGGCTTCCAGAGAAGAGGGTGTGGAGCCCTGCCTCCCCAGCAGATCACATTCCCACCAGGAGATGGGAGATCAAACTCCCATCTGGGAGATTGATGGGAGGGGCAGCAGCTTGTCCAGCACCAGCTGCTGCACCTCTCATCAATCCTATGCCTTCCTCATGACCACATAATTAGAGGGGCCCTCAAAAAGAGGACCTCAATGCACTTCACTGGTCTTGAAATCTGGGAAGAAATTACGTTCAGGGCCAAAATCCAGGTCATGCAGAAAGCCTTTGGAAAAAGATGCCGGCAAGTCAGTGAAAGGCCCACTGTCACCAACCACCCTTTAAAAAGGCCATACTCAGCCCGGTCCTTGCCTGATTGTGATCGTCCACCGTAGACAGGAGTGGTGGGGAAGGAAGTGTGCTTGGGTCTTGCTCTCCACTGCTGTGTTTCCTGTGGAAATATTTATTCAGTGATTTCCCGGTGCCCCCCCTTCTGTTAAATAACAGTAATGCCTTAAATGGAAAAACACACAGAAGCTGATGGAACAGATACTGAGGCCATGGAGAGTTGGGAAATGGGCTTTTATACCTTACCCTTCGCCATTAGCAAAGTTCTGCATATCTGCAAGTTCTCGCACGTCCTTCTGAGACAGCTGGAAGAACTTACACTCTCCCTGTTTTCATTTGCTTTCTCAATGGCCAGGATTAAGCGAACTCTCTGCCCGTTTCAGAAGGCAGCTGATGCACAATCTAACAGCAACCTTGCTGGGTCAGACCAAGGGCTGGTCTGGGAATCCGGCACATCAACTGTGGTGCAGCTGATGCTTTGTTACCCATCAGCTGCATCTGACCTTCTGAGGCAGAACACCTTTGAGCACAAGACTCTTCAGTTTTTCCTGACCACTCAGCACCCGTTCTCGGGCAGGGCTGCTGCACATGCCCTCCTGGTAAGTCTTGGGCCTGGTTCTCATTATCCAGTTCACATGCCAATGGGGTCTGGATCGATTTGGGCCAAACCTATTCCAAATCAAGATTCACAGAGATAGTCCTCCCATTCAAACATGCAAGGACATAAAAAATGCTATTCACTTTTTTGTTATGAAAAACATGAAGACATGGCAGATCCTAAAGAAGAGACTGACCCTGGCAAACTGTAGATTGGAAGCTCTGGGATCTCTGTTCTGGAACTACATACCAAGTTTGCTTCCCCTGCTTAAGAACATTTTCTAAATCCCACCCCATCCTGCTCCGCAAGACTGTTTCATCTTGCCAACTCATGTCCTGGCACAGCCCCCTGACCCGTGGCACCTTCCAAAAACACCTAGAAGACTGCTCAAGCTTTGCGTTGGGAGAACCCAGAGGACAAAACCAGCACAGCGGGTGTGGAGGGGCATCAATCCTCTTGAATCGGGTGGCGAAGAAGAAGCATCAGTCCACCAATGCTTTACTCAGGCCTTTTAAAAAGGGCGAAATGAGAAAGGGCCCATCACTGGAGTCCTTTTGTTCACATGGAAAGCTTCGTTTTGATAAAGAGAGCATTCTTCTGTCTACTGAGCGGGCAGGGAGTGGGGGAAGCGTTCTCAATGCCAGCCAGAATCTAGATTTTACTGAATTTACTTCTGATTAAGAGATACACAATAATGGTCAGGCTTTGAGAAAAACGGGACAAAAAACAAAAACAAAAATAAATTAAGAAGATATATATATCTTAAAAGATTATTTTAATGTGAGCTTTCGTGGACAAGTTCACTTCTTCAGATATGCTTTGAGAAAAACCTTAACGAGCTGTTCTGGGTGCAATTGTTGCCAAACTTGACAATTTCACCACAGCAACAACACTGGGGGGTTGTCAGTCAGTCAGTGCTATGGAGACCCGCAGCTATCCAGACAACCAGTGTCGTCTTCAAGCTCTCTTTCAGTTCCATTCGAAAGCATGGGAAAGCAGTGACTCAAGACAGCTCATCTCCTATTCTCTTCCCAGTTTCCATCGCCCAGGTGCCTACAGGTAGGCAGGAATAACTCTCACTGAACACCTTCAGAGAAAAGTAAACCATCTACAGCCAGAAACCGAAGACCCTAGTTTGTGCCTGGCTCTTTTCTTCTTCTTTTTTGGAAATGGTAACTCACTTCAGGGAGGGAAGTGTGGGTCCCAAAACAGCTGACGGGAGAGGCTTTCCGATGCCCAGACCTAGATTGCTAGGTGACTCATACTTGGGCAAAGGAAAGCTTTCAAACTGTCAGCATTATCCTTTCAACTTCTGCCGACAAGATGGCAATCCTCCAGCAAAATCCAAACTTTTCCCTTGCTGTTTGCCCAGACCTTTGACAGCATCTCCCAACGTACCTTCTCTGTTTGACGGCAGCAATGATGTCTGGCCCTGAGAACATGGAAAACAGGCTGTCTCCATTGGCAGAGGAGGTTTCGTCGCTGGAACTGGCCGAGTCTCCCTGAGTACCTGACCAGCTGCTTGTCATCTCCCTAAGAAAGGAAGCAGAGAAGCACAAGCAAGAGGCGTGAGGAGACAGCAAGCGGGAAGGACTCGCTCTTTCCAGTTGCTCTTAACTGGTAATGAACTAAAACAGAGTTGGCTGTCTTTCTAAATCTCCCTAAAAGACCCTCTGGAGAAATTTTGAGAACAGGAAGAAAGCAAACAGGCCCACTTATCATGCAACAATACTTTTGTTAAAACAGGGTGTTTGCAATTCACGGCTTGTCTTAAGGATCCTGATCTTATTCCCTTAAGCCTCAGGACCCAAGTGGAACACATACACATCATCCTCATCCTGCACCTGCCCCCCTCCATTCAGAAGAGATGGGGGTGGAGAAATTTTGAGAACAGGAAGAAAGCAAACAGGCCCACTTATCATGCAACAATACTTTTGTTAAAACAGGGTGTTTGCAATTCACGGCTTGTCTTAAGGATCCTAATCTTATTCCCTTAAGCCTCAGGACCCAAGTGGAACACATACACATCATCCTCATCCTGCACCTGCCCTCCTCCATTCAGAAGAGATGGGGCCTAGGCGTTGAAACAAAATAAAACGACTCAGTCTTGGAGCAAAACATTAAAAATAAACCAACAAACAGCAACAACAACAACAGCAAAATCTGGTTAGGGAAAGCAATTAGGTGGTCACATCTTAGGACTGCCTGTAAAGCAGGAAAGGGCGCTGCGGAGGGGCTCCTTACCCTTCCGTGAAATACTCTGGAAAGGGCCAAGTTCTGTGGGGGTCGTCAGGGTGAGCCCAGTTGCCGCGCGTATTGCCGGGACGACGGAAGTGCTGCGCCTGCCTTTTCTGCTGCATGGCCTGGCTCACCCCGGCCACGTAGCGGGCAAACTCTGGATCCGAGCCAACTGGACAGGGAGAGAGAAACCCAATGATCAGAGCCAGACGTAACCTGCCTATTTGGTATCCCCTCCCAATTCATCTTCCAAGCACCAAGCCTCTATCCCTCGACATGCACACGCCTCTCCACCCAAAGGAAGCCCGTGGGCAGTCCGTTGGAAGGACTGTTCGAGGGCTGAACATGAAGCACTTGATGGAGAAGTGGGTAGAATAAGCTAGGTAAAGGAAGTCCCAGCCCCGCAGCCTCCACTCGTTGCCAAGAGAGGCCGCTTAGAGAGCAGACAAATCAAGTTACCTGTAAATCTACAGGGAGAGCTAAAGGCCTTGGCACCCTATCCCGCTTTGGCAAAACTAACTCCAGAAGCACATTCCTATGAGGAAGACTGGCCTCCCTCACAAACAGAGAAGAGAGGGGGAAACATGTGCAAAGAGCAGATCCAAGAAAGGAGGAGGTCTCCTCTCCAGAATACTTCTGGCCTCCTCGGCTGAGAACCGGCTAAAGGAATGCTCTCTTCCCCCTTCCATCATGCACAGAAGAGCCCAAGCAAAGCAAATGTATTCAGATGTTTTTCGCTCAAAAAAGGTCAGCCCTGGCAAGGTGAGAACTCCATCACAGGTGACCCAAAGGGAAAGGTGCTTGCTTTGGAAACAAGGTGGGAGTTCCAGAGCACAACAAGCAGCCATTTGTTCCCCAGGGCACGTCAGCACGGACAGGAACCGTGGAATGTCCCTTCCACCCCGTGCACATAAAATACAACTGGGCATCCAGGCAGGAGGAGGGGGACCACCCTGGCCGAAAGGCAGGCCAGGGGGAGCAACGTTTAAATCAAGAACCTTCGGCTTCCTGTGTCTATTAGCTGGGTTTTCCGTCCTCCCGTCATAAATCTCCCCACCCATGGGCAGCATCCAACATGTTCACCTCCAGCCTCCGGTGCACATGCGACGCAACGGTGTTTATTCTTTGCCAAACAGCCTCGCAGAAGAGGCACCCACCTGCCGGGTCAAAAGGCAAGAACTCTCCCAGCATCCCAAAGAGCCCCTCGCTCTGGTCGCGGTTGGGCCACGTGTTGTTCCTCGGCCCCGGCGGCTTTTGCCCCAGCATCTCCGACATCACGTTGTCCATGTAGCTGTTCACCAGACCTAAGCTGTACAGGTCGGAGCTCAGGTCGGAAAAGGCGTTGCTGCTCCACTGAGGCATTGGGGACAAGCCCGGAGCCACGCTCTGGGAGGCTTGCTGGCTGGAAGGGGTCGGCCATTTGCCAGGACCCGGGCGCGGAGGCGGCGGCTGCTGCTGTTGCTGCGACCCAAAGGGCTGGAGCAAATGGGGGTAGTACGGCGGTGGCAGCGATGGTGGGGGCTTCTGGGACGGCTGCTGTGGCGGCGGCGCCGGTGCCAGCCCCTGGTGGAGGTGGTGCAAAGGGGTGTGAGAGGAGGACTGAGGCTGCTGCTGCACAGCCGCCGGCTTGTGCTCCGGCGCCGCTGGCGAGGACGCCGCAGAGTTCCTCCTTTTCACCATGGGGGAGGCCTGCTGGGACTTGCCCATGTTGAAGCCCGAGAGGAAATCGATCACCTCCTGCATCTCTTGGTCCGTCGGCAAGTTCATGCCTTTGCCGTCCTTGCCCTCTTCGGCTTTGCTGCCGCCGTCCCGCCTCTCCAGGAGGAGCCCGTTGACCAGCGGGTGGCCGGAGCTCTGGACCGTCTGGGCCGACTCCACAGCCCGCGGGAAGTTGCCGATGTTCAGGATACTTTGCAGCCGGGTATCCGCGGCGCCGGGCATCATCTTCGCTTTATCCTCTGAGTTGTTGGTTATAAAAAGGTTTTTGGAAGGTGTGGTGGGAATGGAGTAACTCCCACTGTTTGAAGTTTTCTTTGTAAACCGAGAAGTCAACTTTGAGAAAGTCTTTTGCAAGCCACCTGTGGATTTGCTGCCATTTCCAGATGGTAAGTCAATGTGACCCCCAAAATCAGAGATCTCACGCTGGAGCTGGATCTGAATACAGGGTAACGCTTGCTCTCTGTTTAAACGACACAACGAAAACATTATTTCAGGCAAAACGCAGCTTCCTAAAGCAGGTACCGTCATTAGAATTAAGACATTACATACGATCCTCTCAAGGATTCCTCGTAATGGCACAAAACAACAAAGACCCTCTTTCAAAAAGCGCACCAGTCTGGGCAGAGCGTTTCCTCTCGACAGCGTGCCAATATTCCACCAAAGAAGCGCACCAACTAGTGAGCAGCCACTCTAAACGTCTGAACATGGGTGGCCCTTTCTACACAAATATGATGACACCGTCTTGAAAACCGAGAAGTGCTGTTCTAAAGATAGAGGCACCCTCAAGGGAGGCGAGGGAGTCCATGCGCTGAGCAAGCGGCCTGTCGCACTGGATTGGTATTTCTTTGCCAGGGCGACAGGGATGCGAAGGAAGGCAGCCCCTGGGAAGAGAAGGGAGGCAGCAGGAGGCAGCTCAGGCCACCTTGGGGTGGATGGAGAGAAGGGACATCCCTGTCCCGGGGGGGAAGGGCGCAGATTGTGTGAAGGAAGAAAGGCATGTTTTAACTCGGGGATTTCACAGCCACAGTTGCTGCAGGCTGGTGGGGTCCCCAGGAACGGGAAGTCTCCTCTGGGAGACCGCAATGCTTGCTCTGTTAACCAGCACCCCAGGAGAAGAGGAATCCATGATGGCAAAGCCAAGCCTGGGAAAGGAACCTTGGTGGGCGGGCGGGGGGGGGTGTTGGAGAGTGGTAGCAGCAGAGGAGCCTGACAGAAGCCTAGGGATGCTAGCAACCACATTTGCCCCATTCTCCTGCTTCGCTACTCCCAGGCAATGTAAGGCCATGGTCCATCTGCAGCTGGGCCTTAAGTCTTCACATGACCCGTAGAGACCACATTTGTTCTTTACAAGGCTGCCAGGTTATCCCGAATGGCTGTTGTCCAGCCATATCAGCCAGGTCCATGGTCTTATCGGGCTAGCCTTTACACAGCCGTAAAGACGCTTCATCTCCACCTTTCTCCCGTTCCACTGCTGCTCTGCCGGGTCAGGCTACCTACCTCCCTTCCTTCCACCGATGTAGGTCAAACACGGCAGTATACAACACGTCCACCAGTCCCAAGGTCTTCTCCGGATCCAGGCTCCTCTGCAGCAGTGACATGGTGGCGGGATCTTCCTTCAGGCACCTGAGAAAGAAGTCTGTGACTTAAATACATACATACATACACACATACACATACATACATGCACACACACACACAAACAAGCTTTCAAGCAGGACTTAAAAGAGGATTCACCCTTGCCAAAGAATTATTCCTCCTTGACAACAGGCAGGCTGCAAGACCACCTTGGCTCTTTTTTTAGGAGAAGTGCAGGATATAAAGATTTAAAATAAATAAATAAATTGTAATTTCTCCTTTTTTAAAAAAACCTGTATTTTCTTACACAGTAACCATAATTACCAAGTGGATGGGACTTGAACCACAATTCTGGAGCCTTCTAAACTGATCTGCGGTGCATAGGCTTCTTTGTTTTCAATCTGTGCTGTATCCACAACCACCTAATCACGGAGGAAAAACAAGAAGAGATGAGATCCTGGCATTTTAAACTGGCAGTTCTTTCCTTCTTTTTAGCTTTCTCATCAACACAGAACATTATTCCATTCACTAGTGAAAAAGGCCCTCCCGGTCACGGCTAAAGCAGCCCTACAAGGGGCTCGTCCCTAGCTCACTGGCAGGCAACTACCTGGCTGTCAGGATGTGGCACGCATGAGGAGCTTTCCAATTTGGGTTCTGCGAATTCAGGAATTTCCTTCCATTTGCAAGGGGGGGGGGAGAATCACAAAAGTCTAGCGGCACCTTTAAGATTCAGGCACCTTATTCCATTCACTAGTGAAAAAGGCCCTCCCGGTCACGGCTAAAGCAGCCCTACAAGGGGCTCGTCCCTAGCTCACTGGCAGGCAACTACCTGGCTGTCAGGATATGGCACGCATGAGGAGCTTTCCAATTTGGGTTCTGCGAATTCAGGAATTTCCTTCCATTTGCAAGGGGGGGGGGGAAGAATCACAAAAGTCTAGCGGAACCTTTAAGATTCAGGCACCTATTTCTGTCTGAGCTTTCACAAACTCAACCCATTTTCTTCGGGGGTCAGTGTCCCCTGAGGAAGTGAACGGTCACCAAGTAAACCCACACCAGAATTATTCTTAGTCTTAAAGGTGCAACTGCATTTTTTTGCTCTTGCTTTGCTTTATTTATTGCTGAAACAGACAAGCACAGCTAATGTCCTGGAAATGATTTACTGCAATTATCCCGAAAGGTAACATTTGATGAAAAAGAGGGTCATCTTCAAATAGGGTGGCCCAGTCAACGTCTTCTTCTGCTACAACTGGCAATCCGGCCGCTCTGCCTGTCCCTCTTTTGGGAGGCCATGTCTGGATCTCTCACCCCCACTCACTACCATCAATAGCTGTCATCTACTGCGGCCGCTCTGCCTGTCCCTCTTTTGGGAGACCATGTCTGGATCTCTCACACCCACTCACTACCACCAATGGCTGTCATCTAGGATTCACAGTAAGGTCATCCCGCCTTCTAGCCAGAGCCTTAGGCTGCTGCTGCAAAATTTGGTCTGGTACGAAAACACAGAACTTTATTGCTACCGCGGCTCTTGTCAGGACAAGAAAGATCCACCGAAGTCTCACAGACACAGCAACGGGCCCTCTTCATGTTTTGGTCAATTCATGACTGCTTACCAGGCCAGCTTGTCCAAACAGCAGCTGTACGGCCGTCTTGCAGGCCCCGCGCCATGTAGAAGGGCAAACCTGGTTCAGCACTTCAGTCACAGGAGAGTCGTCCCGTGGCGTCATTCCATTATGGTACCCTGCCTCTTTAATCAGCTGTATCATCGTGTGCTATCAAAGGAAAAAAAAGGGGGGGAATGAATGCTATGAACAAAGCCAATTACAGATGGCATATCCTCTGTCCTGTCCAGCACATTTATGCTACGGGTGACTCCAGTCCCTTTTTTCGTCCATTACAATGACCCAAGGCCACCCCCACTATCTCCAGCACTTTCCAAGATGGTCACCGATCTCAATGCTCACCCCCACTATCTCCAGCACTTTCCAAGAGACTGGCTGTTCCCGGTGGTCACCGATCTCAATGCCCGTGTGTCTGACCAGGGTTAGGAAAGCAGAAATAGCTGCCAAACATACATTCAGGAACTGTGCCCAATCTACTTTGGTTTGGATTCCTGCCTTCAGCAGGGGCTTGGAATCGATGGCCTTGCAGGCCCCTTCCAACTCCATGATGCTACAATGCTATGAAATCTTCAAAGCAGCTAGCTTGAGAGTGACCAGCTTCAGAAGTAAAACAGTCCCTGGAGAGTGTATTATCATTCCACAACAGCAATCAACAGGGAAGAGATAAGGGAACCAACCCAGTCAGGGTGCATTAATTTACAAGGAAGATATGCCGTCGACTTCTGGGTTTGCATGCAAACCTTCTATGCTTGGATCTCACAGCCTAGGGTTATTCAATGGTTCGTTACTAGTGATATCTGGATACAGTATCTTCCTTTTTTTTAAAAAAAAATCTTGAAACAAAAGACATTCTAATCTGTTTTACATCTGCTTTGTAGATTGTGTCTCTCCAGCCTTTTCAAATTATGTTATAATTACTACCTACGCCATTTCCCACAGGAAGATGCTACAGGTCAAAACCTGTCCACAGATGGTTGAGTTTCTTATAGTTATATTTAAATTAGTGTGTCCCTACTTTATATCAAATATTTATCTGGTTACTGTCTTTTGAAGAAAATTCCTTCCTCCTTTATGTTGCATGTTGAAGCCAGGCTTCCTCCTTTTTATTTGATCAAAACTGGAAGACACTCTCCATAGGTAAAAATGTCAAATCCTGATCAGGTAGCAAGCTTTCATGGTTTTAAAACAGCAGCAATAGGTGGTTACTGTTCCCCAGACGTTGTGGTAAGCGGGTGCGCAATTTCTGAGCACACAGGATACAACATCCTCAGTCAAGAAAGGCAGGATGATTGTAACAGCAGCAAAATCCAAATCCAAGTTTTTAATAGAAATTAACACTCAGTAAAAAAACACGAGTGGATTTCACGACACAAGCAAGGTCTTCGTGTCCTTACCGTTTTCAGCTTCAGGTTATCGGCGGCAGACTCATTAAAGGAGATGCCTTTCAGGAAGTGGGCGCCGATCTGAACAGGGACTGTTGGGAGCTCACACTGGATAGGCTGAGAAGGGGTCTGTCTGCGCCCGGTCTGCTGGGCTTCAACCTCACTGCAGCAGCCCTGAAGAAACAGAGCACCCAAGCCATGCATAAGAGGAGGAGTCCAACGGCAAGCTGCCCAGCACAACAGCACAAAACTATAGGCAGCCCTACCTGCAAACTTGCTTCAATCGCCTTTGGGTTCAAGTGGAAGCCGGCTTTCATTGCATATTCACAGTGACCCAAGCTGTCCAATGCAGCTTTATATGCCTGGTTGAGAGAAAAAAAATCAGCTTTCATCCTAGAATGGCTGGACAAGGGTTTAACTCTCTGGCTGCAGCACCAGAGGTTGGGAGTTCGATCCCCCCCCACCCCACCCTGGACCTCATTAACAAGGGCTGCACTCGATGATCCACAGAGTCCCTTCCAGCTTTGCGGTTCTAAGATTATTCTAATATTATCATCATCATGCAGTTAAGAAACAAGAGCTTCTCTATATTATTAACTTCATTAAGCTTTAAAGAAAGGGGAACTCTCTCCCCCCTACACTACTGAATCCCACACGACTTTCCTTTTGTGGAAGCAGGAAGGCTTCCTGGGAAGCAGAAAGGTGTCCTCTGGGATCAAAATCCTCCACTCCAAATCTTCCATTTCCTCAGTAAGTCAATCTTAGTCTTTTTTTTAAAAAAATACAAGGCAGCGGACGGCCCTCCAGTCCTTACCCACCTAAAGATGTAAAGAAAACCGCAGCCTCCGCACGGACTGACCTGCAAAGCGCTGTCTATTTTCAAGTTCAGTTCTTTGAGCTGATGCTCTGGGATGGCCACGCTCTGGGAGCAGAAGAGTTGCTGGACCTCAATTCCAGCCAGGCAGCCGTCGCCCCCCCTCTCTCGTAACCGTGACGTGGCCTTTGAACAGAGAGTGCAAAACAGGAATAATGGGTGAGACAAAACAGCAGCGGCTAAAATAAAAAGGACAGGAATGGCTTTGAAGCGCCGTCCAATTGGATTACAAGAAAAGTCAAATTTCACAATTTGAGTATCATATTATATGCTAGCAAAATGTTTTTTTTTAAATTAACCAGAAAAAGGGAAACAAGAGACCTGTAAGGGCTGCAATTGGAGAGGATTATGGTCTACAGTGATGTTAAGGAGGGGAGTGAAGTGTGTGTGTGGGGTCACTGTGTGTCCACTGTCCACTACCTTAACTGCTCAACTCAAGTCTGCACTGGCCCTATATTTTGTCTCCCTCCCACCTCCCTCCCTCCTTTCCTTTTCTCCACAGTAAATTCCAAGACGACAAGAGTCATTCAGGAACTCCAGTTTAGTACCTCCCTGTGCCTTGTGCCATCCCCATGAACTGCGGGGGGACTACAGGACACACAGTCAGTCAATTATAACCTGAAATTTCACCACAAAGGCCAAGCCCAGAGGTAATGTTATTGCACAAACTTTGATGATGTTCCTTTGCAGGCAGCATTAAAACTACTGTATGTACCAAGAACAGTTGGTATTCACAGTCCCTTTAAACCAGGAAACAAGAGTGTGGGAAATCATCACTGCAGCTTAGTAATCAGGGTATCATGTCACCTACTTCCTTTTTTTAAAAAGTTCACTTTCAACTGAAGTTCGGTTCAAAGGGAGCTGCAAGCCTCCCGCTTCCATCAGCCCCAACCGCTACAGACAAGAAATCAGGAAATAAGAATGCTGCCATTCCAAATACTCTATAGTTCAGCCCCTGAAACCACACTAGAGAGGGCTCCTTCCGAGGGAAAAGTACCCTGAACACACAGATTGAGCTCTCCACAAAGAGCACCCCCCCAGCTCAGACTTCACCCCAACATGTTTCATGTGTGGTGGGAAACCCACCCTCCTCACAAGAGGGAATCTTCCATGAGAGACCCCACCTGTAGTCTAAAACGGGACCTCTGAGAGACCCATTTTCTGCTTCACAGGCTATAAATTAAGCCACATTTACACTATGAAATATACAGTGGTGCCTCGCTTAGCGATATTAATCGGTGCAGCAAAAATCGCTGCTAAGCTATTTCATCGCTAACCGATTTTTAAAAGCCCATAGAAATGCATTAAAACACGTTTAATGTGTTCCTATGGGCTTAAAAACTAACCTTATGCGAAAATCCTCCATTGCAACGGTCATTTTCGATGCCTCTGAAGCGAGGCAAAACAGCAGGCGGCCATTTTGTTTACCCGGCGGCCATTTTGTTTACTGTCGATCAGCTAGCCGGAAATGGGGGCTTTGTGATGATCGCTTCCCTGTGATCATCGCAAAGCGAAATTTCCCCATAGGGACCATCGCAAAGCGATCACTCTTGCGATGGCAAAAAGTCCATCGCAAAGCGATTTCATCACTATGCAGAGCGATCGCTATGCGAGGCACCACTGTACATGGAGTTCATGTTTATGATTTGCACGAGGTTAAAATGAATTCCATCCTGAAACCAAGAGCTCTACATCGCATAAGCTAATTTCCACTCCACCAAGAGGAAAAGGTAGCCAACCTAAATTGTTTTAAGGGCTCTCCGGGATCTCCCAGACAGCACGCGGCTCTCACCTCAGCCGCCCCCCTCCACGACTGAACGGCCTCTTCCAGCTCAGTCATGGGGCTCGGGGTGGACACTTCTGCCACGACCGAATTCTTTCTTTCCTGAGCCATGGTTTCAGTGAAACAGGAATGAGCCACGGGCTGGACCTTCTGCAACGCTTGGGAGAGAAACTGAAAATGAACCTGCATCACCGTCAAGAAACATCGTCCAAGTACCTGAGGAAGGAAAAACAACCACAGATTAGGAAGGACAGATGATTCCTGTGGAATTCTTGACATCTGTTCCCTTGAATCTACACCAGGATTTTATGCCTGTAGAAACCGTTGACTGCCTTCAGGATAAGCCATGAATGACCCCACCTCTGCCCTTGAGATTAATAAAGGTATAAATCATTCAACTCTGCAATGAAGCCTTGTAGCGTCACACAAGGAAAAAGACCAGGGCTGAGAGTGTTTCTGCTTTACAGTGGTGCCTCGCATAGCGATTGCTCCATTAGTGACAAAATCGCTTTGTGACTAACAGCTCTGTTTAGTGACAAAATCACTTTGTGACTAACATTTTGCGATCGCAAAAGCGATCGCTTTGCGATGTTCCCTATGGGGTATTTTCGCTTTGCGATGACCGATCATTGCAAAGCGACCATTTTCGCACAGCTGATCGGTGGTTTCAAAATGGCCGCCGGGAAAAACAATGCTGCCCGCTGTTTTCTGAGACGGATTCCTCACTTAAGAGGCACCAGAAATGGCTGCGCTATGGACGATCTTCACTGAACGGTGAGTTTTAAGCCCATAGGAACGCATTAATCGTGTTTTAATGCGTTTCTATGGGCTTTTTTATTTCGCACTGCGACGTTTTCATTCTGCAGCAATTTTTGCTGAACGAATTAACGTCGCAATGCAAGGCACCACTGGAATCAAAGAAAGGCTGCAATCCTATTATTCACTGTGGTAAGCCCCACTGAATTCTAAGGAATACATTTTTAAGAAGTGCTGCTGAAGTGTTGTAAAGGGGGGTCTCACTGGCCATTCTCAGGCAGGTGTGAGAAGACGCAAGGCACTGAATATGGCTGGGCTTATGGTCATCACATATATTCCATAGTTACATCTGACCCAGGCTTTAATTACTATGGTGTGCTCTGTGGGAGAGCTTAGAAAAGCTACGGCGAGTACGACAGAAACTCGCTTAGAAACCATGTGCCCTTGGTCTTCAACCAAGTGGCTTCCAAGCTCAGTTCAGTTTTGAGCCATAAAGCCCTAAATGAACTAGGATCAGAACATCTGAAATACTGCCCTTTCTCCCCCTATCTATCCTATAGTCCTAAGAAGCCAGATGCAGGCGTGTCTGTGAAGCAGAGCTTTTTCTGCATCAGCACCTTAACGGTGGAGGTTCTTCTGAAGTGAAGTCAACCTGGCTCAACCCCTGATGAACCTCTGGCAGAGGGCCAAGACAGGGTGGTTTCTGTTCCACATGGCCTTTGGTGTTTGGGCTTAAATCATACCGTGTTTAAAGCTGGTTTACACAGCCGTTCTTGATCAGTTTTTAAAGTGCGTTGGCTTTTAAAGCTGACTTGTTTGACTTTTAGACTGTTTTTAAACAATGTTTTGTCTTCCCGTTGTTATACAAGTCTTTAGTGACACTCATGAGTTGAAAAGCAACGGATTCAATGTTTTAAATAAGTAAGAAACCAACCAGACCATGGAAGGAAACAATCATTAGTCTGTCTGAAACGAAGGAATCCCTAAAGATCCTCCTGAGCTACCCTAGACATATTTTACTGAAAAATTATCCTATTCCTACAGACGTGACTGGCTAAAATCCAGTCATTCCGCTGGCACTGCTTTAAACTTCTGCCTGTCGAGGATGGGGAGACGCACAGACATGCACATTTTTTTTAATGGCTTCACTTGCACCAGCAATTCTATTGCATATCTCTTTCAGAATCTGGGAACTGGGAGCCCTGCCTTCTTCAACCTGCTGCTGTGAACAGGATCTGTCCAAGGTTACGCTCAGGAGCAATTTCCACTGGATTATTTCTTTGCCAAAATTTAGTCCTCCCGAAGATTTGGCCACAACATTATAATGCAATAAAGTATGTTGGCTCGCTATATATGGAGAATGTGGGGATGCCCTGCTTCTCCCCAACTGGATTCCTTTAGCATACAGGGCCTCTGAACAAATCAGTCTGCCAGTCCGAGTGTAAATTAAAACACCCACCTCTCCTTCAGCACAACTGCCGGTGGCAACGGCTCCCCCACTCCAGCCTATTTCATCTCCTCCGAAACACCCACCTCTCCTTCAGCACAACTGCGGGTGGCAACGGCTCCCACACTCCAGCCTATTCCATCTCTCTCTCTCTCTTTCTCTCTCTGACATTCCTTTATGATTCAATCATTTCCCTTCTTTGTGCAAAGTTTAAATTTAACAGTTTAGGTATGCTGAGTGGCCTCTCGGAGCGCAGTTCCCTTCTTTTAAGAAGTTTTCAGCTAGAGCAATGGAAATTCGCAACAGTCGTTGCCTTCAAAAGGTTTTTGATGGAAACAACCGCTTTCCTCTGAAATTCTGTTGATCAGCAACACAGGGGAGAAAGAAAGCTCCCTTCTTTGGTGAAATAATGTCCAAAACAAACAGCAAAAGTTTGCTTCCCAGCAGCTGGATGCATCACAGCTCCATGATAACAGAAAACACAACTTTAAGGGGGGAATAAAGGACAGGTAGAAAACCATGTGCTTCTTTTCTCTCTTAACATCTTACAGCACCTGAAGTGTGCGCCAGTGAGGGAATGGAGAAAAGGTGAGCTTGGCCTAAGAGACAGCCAACGTGTGGGCCGCCCTCACTCCCAACGTGGGAGAGGCAGCCTTATATTATCATAGAAGCTTAGATGACGCAAATAAGAACAGAGGAGACTCCTGCAGTCTCTTATCAAACAGCAACACAACCAAGAACAGCCGAGCCATGGGGCCAGGAGTATTCCTTCGTCAATTTGTGGATCCCTGGTAAAACTTCGGGGGGGGGGAGGAAGAGATGTTCCACTGTAGAAATATATATTCTTGAGTATCCTTCTATCTCTGGGCCTCTTTTCTATAATCACCTTTCAAGAAATCTGAGTCCTTGCAGTCTACGGGCAAAGCCAAGAGACCTGCCACTTCCTCCAATTTATACAGTGAGCGCACCAGGGGTGGAGGCAGAGAGCCTGGTCATGCCCTGGGTGATGCCACCCATCCACCCACCCACAAGAGTCAGTGGGGAAGGGGAACAGGCACCTCTCCAGTCTCTGAAAAATATCACAGAAGCATGAGCTAGAAGAAGTGGGAGCTAGTGGTGCTCCAGCCCCCCTCTACATCCAAAGTTGTCCTAGGAAGCAATAGTCATTTGGAAGGTTCAAATACAGTTCTAGCAGGCTCATCACCTCTCACTAGAAAACCAGCGATCTCTGCAATGGTTTGAGTGTGGAACCAGGACACAGGAAAGAGTCCGGCACACGTCTGAACCAAGTAACTTTCCTCCTTGCACTGTCCTCTGAGGAGAAGTGACAAAATCTGGAAAGGTTTAGGGGGGAAAGGCAAGCAAAAGGAGACATGGCAGAGTCGCATAACGTTATGCAAGGTGAGGAAAAGTGGGATATTTCTGTTCTTTTTATTGCTCCATTTCTATTTCGCTCCAATAAGAAAATTACTGCTCAAGGCAGGCAGGAGCAAATTAAAGCTATGAAGTCATTGAAATCCTTATTCAAAAATATCCATCTTTCATAACATAAGAATGCAGAGTCATCCTCTGAATTTGAGAGGTGGGAGATTCGGAACAGATAAAAATACAAGGTATTTAGCACAGCGGAGAAAAGTGTAGAATTTGATGCTGCCAGACCACCATCCTTGTGAGATTCTGGGCTAGTCTTCACCAGCTCGAAGGCTCTCTGCTGAGTTGACCTGAAAGGGAGAGTGGACAGGGTGGCGGAGAATGGAGCTGCCCGTGGCTATTGGTCCCACATTCAGATGGCCTTCCCCAATACCAGAAGCAGCGTAGCTCTGTGCCTCGCTAGCTGGAGAGCATAAGCAAGGGCTGGGGGGAGCGCTACTGAACCCCTGCCCTGTTGCAGGACTCACACGGGCAGCCGACAAGCCGCTGTTGTTAGCAACACGCTGGATGAGACAGGCCTCTTGGTCTGATCTAGCCCAGGCTTTCCTGCACTCGTCCCCCTGTGAGATCCGGGACTAGTCTTTGCCTCCAAAATTAGAGGGAAGTCACCATCTCTGGTCCTCAACTTCCTCACAGGGTTTGTGTGATGACAAAACAGGGGGTGGGCAAAGGACTATGCATCTCTCACATTTCTTAAGAGGAAATGTAGGGTGTTCAGCAGAAGAAATGAACAAAAATAAAATGGACCTGGAATCAGAGGTGTCAGAGCCTAAGGAAAGGCCCACCTCCCCTGATCACCACTGAGATTTCCCAAGCAACGTACAGCCCTGAACTGCATTTTGAAGAATGATCTCACCCACACCCACAAACATCGAAATAGGAAGAAATACTTCCTCAGAGAAAGCCACTATTTCCTCTAACTCCTCTCTCTCTCTCTCACACACACACACACCGAAATAGGAAGAAATACTTCCTCCGAGAAAGCCGCTATTTCCTCTAACTCACCTGGCTGGCAGGTCTGAAGGATATTGTCTCTTTCTTTCAAATCACACACAACCAAGCCTCCATGTTTCCCAGATCTTAACATTCTCCACAGAGCACCCAAAACAACAGTGCCCAAGAAGGCAAAGTCCAGACAGCACAGAAGGGGACGATGCACCCCTCTCCCTCCTGCCAGCAGTGCTCGTCTAAACCAGGGGCTGATAACACTTTCCAGCCCCGGGGCTGCACTCCAGTCCCCAGCCATGTTAAGGGCACAGGGGAAGAATGACCTAGAATGGGGTGGGCCTAAGTAGATAAATCTTACCCATCGGCCCCACGGCAACAGTGCTCAGGCACGCAGAACCCTGTTTCCCTACAAGCAGGAGCTCCTGTGGAAAGTAAAACCTTGCCCGTCTGCAAACATCATACCTGTGCCATGCAAATCTTATCTGTGTGCAAACCTGAGCATTGCCCTGTGTCATTTAAAACACAGCCTGACTGCCAGTTAGACGTTCTGCGCCGTGCAAACCTTGAGAGTCTGCAAACCAGACCTCCAAAGTCTTCCAGAGCTGCACACTAGAGCAATTTCAAACTAAAACCTTCCCAGGCTGTGAACAGGGCAGAGAACATGCCAGAGCAGAGTCTCTTAAATTCTCCCACATCTTCTCCCTCCCCCCCCCCAAAAAAACAGACTTTCCTTATCACTAAAAGATGAATCGCTGCTCCTGAAGGCCTTCAAAAGTGTTTGTTTGCCTTTTCAATAGGTTGCAGGCCTCTGTGCACCAACATACGGCAAAGAATGCTCATTTTTCAGAATTGGGACAACCAAGGTAAACACACCACACACCACTCTGGGGCATTTTTGTGGTACACAGAAGAAACCTGCCCCTCGACTTTTGTCCACCACAGCTAATGCTGCAGGCAAAGGCTGCAATGGCAACACCAAGCATGTTTACTTCTCACAAAAAAACCACCCTACGCATGTGATTCTTGTGTGTATATTTAGCATTCTGTCGAAAGAGTGTCCTGTATCTGACTGCTCGTGTGTGTCCAGTGTAGACAGCAAGGTAACACATCTGACACAAGCAACTGCAACTATGCAACAAAAATAAAGTGACACCTGTCATTCTGACTTACTCCAGGAATGCCTGGAGGCAAACTGACGTGGCCGCTAATTAACACACACAAAAAGAACTCCACAAAGATGTGGCTCACAGTGCCACTCCTCCTGGGAGAGTTTTGTCAAGCCTGGCATCTTTAAAAGTTCTTAAAAAGCACAATTCTTCTGCAACCCTTGTTACAGAAATGTAGGGGACCTTTGTTGTAACGTGCATCCTGATGGAGGAGTATAACATGGCAAGCAATGAGCATTAACAAAGTGAAATGTACAATCCTTAGACCAGTGTTTCAAGATACCAGGTAAACAAGAGAGACAGCTGAACGCTAATGGAAGAGGTGTACCTCATTAAGGCCTGTATCAGCAAGAGGGCAGTAATTAACTAAAACCCTCACAACTGGTCTCTCTCTGTGTGCATTTTTGTTTGTTTACATTTGGTAAATGATTATCTAGAGATGGGTACTGCTAAGTTATACAAGTTTAATGTATGACTTACAGTACTAGGATTTTTTGGGGTATGTTTTCTATTTATTCTCAAGAAATTAATACTAAGTAATTTCAAAAGAAAAAACAGAAGTCATGTAGCATCTGCAAAACTAATTAGTTTTTATTTTTCATAAGCTTTCATGTGTCCAGTCACATGGAAGCTTATGAAAAATAAAAGCTAGTTAGTCCTCCGGGCACGACATGGTTTCTGGTTCCTCTTTTGCCACAGCCGACTGCCAGATCATGTCAACAGCTGGATGAGAAAGAAGTCATCAGCCTGATGACCAGCGCTGACTCACCTCAATGTCCTGTAGGCTGAACTCCTTTTGATCTTTAAAGTTTGCTGCTCCGGCACTAAGTTCCATGAGCATTTTTGCAATTTCTGGTTTTATTGCTGCGGTGAGGCGACTCGCTGCTTCCATGACATGTTCCTGCACGTCTTTCAGTTGCATAGCTGCCTTAGAATAGTGTGAATTCCGAAATACACTGCTGAAAAGGTCTGTAAGGAAAGCACTCGCCCGGCAAAACACGTTGAGTGCATCCAGGTACTTGGAGATTCCCTGCTGGATGTCTGCAATCGGGGTTGCCTGGTTGCAGCTGCCCGCAGCAGCCGGGGAAATCAGAGGGGGTGCTGTAGCTGGAGAGGCCAAAGGTGCACTCAGGGTCTTGCCTAGTTCTGGCACTTGATACTGCTGGTGTTGCTGCACTTTTTGCTTGGACCCGCCCAGCAAAAAGCGCCTCTTGTAGTCCATTTTACTTTCTTGTGCACTGCAGCAATACATAAGGAAGTACTTGACTCGAGCCCCTTGGATCAACAATCGGTTCTCTTGAGTTGCTGCTCCCTTGGAAAAATCTACCTACAATAGCAGCAGCAGTAGAGGGATATGCGCATAATTTTCAGAGGAGGCATCTTGAAAACACACACTCACCAAAAAAATTAAAATCAAACCCCAAAATAACAAAAAAAAAGTAAGTACTTTTATCAGCAGTGAGAAAGGCAGCAGTTCTGCTGACTCTGTACAATTCAGTGTTCCAACGCAGCACTGCTGCAGCTACAAATTATAATAGTAAAAGCAAGCTGTGTTCGATTTTAAAAAATACTGTATGTTTCCTGCTTAGCATCCTTGCTTTACACGCCTGGAATATAATTTCTAATCAGCCGTGGGGGTAAGCGGCCTGCTGCAGTTTCCGTCTGAGTCCATTTCTGACCCTTGGTGTTAATGCTAATTTATACTGAAGAAATGTTACCTTTAGAAAGTTCTAGGACAAAATTCTTCAGACAGAATCAGGAGTGGAAGAGCAAAATCACTGCTCAACAGTGACCATGAAAAACCATTGAATCTTCGCCTCAGCAGTTCAAACAGCTTTTCGGTTTGACAGAACCCGTCAGTCAAATCCACTTATGTTTCCCATCTTAATACTGGAGGAAAAAAAAACAACAACCTGTAAGCTTGTTTCCTGGAGACGGTGCTTCTACACATTATCCAGACAGAGCATGTTCATTTGTTTTATTGCAAACCTTTCCATTTTTCATTCTCTGTGTTGAGGTAGTTTCCTTTTAATGTTAGTAAGTGGTATTTTCAGAGTGAGCTTTTTTTGATTGTAGAGTCTAAAGGACGCCAAAGTTTATTTGTAAGGCCTCTATATCATTTCCTGGCAGAAAGAAAAATTACAAAATATTAAGGCTACAACCTGTTTTATTGTATATTTTCACCTCTCCCTCTCTGACTAGTCTATCTGGAAATAAATTGTTATGAATGTATCTGATACAGTATCTTTTTTTAAAAAACAGAGCAATAACATATGGAAGTAAACCTAAAATTTCCTGTATCTCTTCCCAAAGGCAAATAAATACAGAGTACATTCAACACTTTATTGACTTAATGTATTTTCAGTCCAACTGAATCTCACTGCCTTCAGTCAGCTAAGTGTTCAAATACATTAACCGGCTTGTGCATTATATACTACAGCTAAACTGAATAACTGGAGAACTAGAATTATACCAATGGTTACAAGATGTTAATGAAGATAAATGTTTTGGTCACTTGCAGATCCATTATCTTAAAGATGTTTTCACATTCCACAAGCACTTAAAAAAAATCTGCCATTCCTGAAGTCCAATTTAACAGACAGAAGTATAGATGATGAAAGAATAAATTATTTAAAGTGTTTCACAAGAGTTACTCCTCTTTGCTTTTGTTGCTTTTTGTTTTTGCTTTAAGAAATGGAACTTCATCAATGAAAAGAAGGTAGCCAGCAGACTGCAAGATGGAAGAAGCTTATCAGGAACATTTTATATACCTGGGTAAAAAGCTCTCTTCTCAACTCCGAACACTATAAAATATCTCAGTTCTCCTCCCTGACATCCCCAATGTGTCCCTCCTTGGACTAGACCCCCCCCCCTGAAATCCACGGGCATTTTAGAAACCAGCAATCTGAACACTGTCCTCCTCACTTCCTCCTATATAGCTGCATGTCAATGGCTACATCGGCCAGCATTTACCTTCAGAATATGGAGTGGAAGACATTAATGTATGGTTTTCCTAAATTAGTAAATAGGTAAAGGTAAAGGTTCCCCTTGACATTTAGTCCAGTCGTGTCCAACTCTAGGGTGCAGTGCTCATCCCCGTCTCCAAGCCGTAGAGCCAGCATTTGTCCAAAGACAGTTTCCCTGGTCACGTGACCAGCGCAACTAGACAGGGAACACCGTTACCTACCCACCACGGTGGTACCTATAAATCTATTTGTATTGTAGTTGCGTATTTTCGAACTGCTAGGTTGACAGGAGCTAGGACAAATTAGTAGATAACGTAAAGTCAATTTCCCAAACAGACACTAATACCTATATAATTATATGCCAGAATCCAAGCGAATAATTTTGCTGTATAGTACTGTATATAATTTACAGTGGCAAATGGCCACTAGCTAAGAAGCTGCTATTTGCATTTTTGTCATGTGACAAAAATCATGCAGCTGGTGTGCCACAGAAATACAGCCCTCAACTTCTCACTTAGCAGCAATTCACTGCGGAGATGTATGCCAATGACCTACCTTCCTTACGCCAGTGGATGCAACAGGATTGTGGTCATAGCAATTACAAAACCACTGCTCTAAGCCATTAAATGTCTAAGTAGAAAAGCGGCTACTTTATCTCCAGCCTCATCGTCCTTTGGAAAAGGAGGTGGGGTGATTTTGCAATCCCAGGCTTCAGCCAACAATCCTTTCCTGAAGAAAACTGGCTACACATCAACCATCGTGTTGGTTTTTCTGCAGTCTGAATCGGCCCTGGCTACCTGATTCCACCCATCCGTACACAGAAGGCCTCCCAACAGACTGGCAAGGGAGTGCCGTGACTCAGCCTATCTCCTGCTTCCTTTTCAGACTTGCTTCCCTGTCTGCCTCCTTAGTGCTTCCTTAGCCTCCCCACTTTGCCTGTGCTGCTCCTCTTCCTGCAGTTGTGGGAAGGTTTCTATCTTTCTCCTTAAAAAAGGACCCAAGGCAGCTTACACCATTCAAAGACAATATTCAAAGCAAAAAACAATTTGTATACAAATACCAAAAAGAAACAAACAAATGCCACAGTAAAATATGGTAAAGAGAAGCAACGCGAAGAACACATTCAAAGCAGTAAAGGGCACAAGCATCCATTGCAGAATCCCAATCAGGCAAGCCGGTTACTCAGGGAAAGGTAATTGCCTGCTTGCGGAAGGACAGCAAAGATGGAGGCAGCCTGGCCTCCAGTGGCAGGGAGTTCCAGAGTCTCTGGGAGCAGTGACGAAGAAGACTTTCTCCCATATCCCCACTAAATGCACCTGTGAAGGTGGTGGGACCAAGAGAAAAGCCTCCCCTGAGGATCTTAACACGCAAGCAGGCTCATCAAGGGAGATGCAATCCTTGAGATAGCTTGGACCAAAGCCATTTAAGGGCCTTATAGGCTAGGACGAGTACTTCAGATCAAGCTCTGACCAGTCCCTGTGCCTCAAAGCTGGAAAGCCAAAAACGCTATGGATGCCAATTCCTTTCAACACAAGAGCCCTATTCATGAACACTCAACAACACTGGGCAGGCTCAGCCAATTTGGTCGAGAGGCTTCAGGAATCAATGAGCTCACCTGTACATCAGTCTTTCCTGTATTCCATTTTTAGAATTAGCCAAATTCCTATTGCAAATGGATTCACCTAAAACTGAGCATCACATCTTGGAACAATTTGGGGGGGGGGAGTTTAAAACCTAGAATATGACAAACACTTCCCCCACACACACATTTTTGTAGTTGTTTGAGTCTAATGTATACTTGCTTTCTGTACGATGTAACAATATGGATGAAAGCACAGCAGTAGTTAAGTGATCATATTTACAGTGGTTATGAACAAAATGCTTATCAGCTGCAGTTTTACCGAACAAAATACCCAAAATCTGAGACACAACCATTTCCACATGCAGATGAAACGGATATAACCCCTTTCAGAAATATTAAAATATCGTAGCTCGTTGTTTTTTAAAAATCAAGATAAAAGAAATGCACACAGAATCTGTGGGATAATATGTTCAATGGATATCATAAAAGATGCCCAAAAGGTAAGTTATCCATTCCCGCTACCTTATATCCCACTCTGGCTTCTTTGCACTGGTTGCCCATCCGTTTCCACGTTGACTTCAAAGTGCTAATGATCACTTATAAAGCCCTAAACGGTTTGGGACCTCAAAATCTGGCAGATCGTGTTCTCCCACCCAGATCTACCCGAATCACCCGACATAGCCAGCAGGGGTGGCTGAGTCGTCTGACGCCGAGAGAGGCCCGGAAGGAAAAAACAAGAAACTGGGCCTTCTCGGCGGTGGCCCCTCGGCTGTGGAACACCCTTCCAACAGAAATTCGGCTGGCACCCTCGCTGGATGTTTTTAAAAGCCAGTTAAAAACTTGGTTATTCAAGCAGGCCTTCCCTCCAGTCAATTAAGTCTCTCTTACTTTTCCTTTCTTATGTTATTTCATCCTGGTAATCCTTCCTTAAATTAATCGAAACTGCAATTGTAATTTTTATGATTATATGTATTTTTTATACTGATCCGTTTTATTTTGTAAGCCACCCCAAGTAGACATGGTCTAGAGGGGCGGGGTAAAAATCTAATAAATAAATAAATAAATATTTTATCAGATCTTGTCCTGAGACTTGAAATCTAAAAGTTATGATACACAAAGGAGAAAAAAAAGATGGAGAGGGAGGAGGCATGAGAGGAGGCATGAAAGGCTCAGTTATCAACTCTTAATTATTATGGTCACCAGGAATGCAAAGAGTTGTATCCTTAGAAAAGACCAAAATGGAAAGGCGGGGGAGAACAATAGTAGGGGACCATACACTGTTGTTGTTCTTCTACAAGAGAAAACAGAACACAGTTCAGAGCAAACCTTTACGTTTGCTGGCTGCCTATTATCATCTTCAGGACTCTTTCCTCTGTATTTATTACTCTGTAATACACGTAAGGCAGTATACCACTTTACATTCATTGTTCACAACTCTCGAATGTTTACATTCTTAACATTTAGAACAGAGAGTGAAAAGGTGATAGAAACTTGTTTCACTTTTGATCAGATATCCTAGTCCAACCTCCACAAATACAGACAGGAAAGAGAGAGAAAAAAAGAATGCTTTATTTTAGTACAATAAAACACGGGAATTTGTGAGAAGCTTAGGTGAAAGCATTAGCCCACTAGGACAAATTTTAAAAGGCTGAGTAATGTTCTGAAAACAACATCCAGGCTCTTTCAAAGCACTCCATTATGCTCTCAATATGTGGGGCAGTTTAGTCTTAACTCATTTGGAGAGAATTTTAAGCATCTGGCAACACAAATCAAAGCTGGAAAAACGTCTGGAAACGTCCAGGTTTTTCATAATATCTGGGCATGCTTTTCTTTTCAGGATAGATTTTAAACCAGTGGGGAGTAAAAAGAATCAGATACTCAAAATGTACCTTAAAAACTTGCTCAGAAAAAGAACAGGGCTGGATCAAGAAAAAAAATTGTGCAAAATGTCTGATACAAAGCTTGAGAAAGCACCAGCCTAACATGGGGCAATAAATAAAACCAGGAGAAACTGGAAAGCCGCTGACAGCAGAGATCCAAAAGTTATTTAAGACTCTATTTTTTTGGTATTTGAACTTGCACAGCAACACCCCAAGCACTTCAGATCTAAAAGAAGTGTTTTTCTGCCACTTTCAGAAGTACATATTCCAAATGAGATCTGAGGACAGAGAAAAGAGTGGAGAGGCAGAAAAAGGCCACTTCTGCCACTGCCTTTTACTAGATGGCAAGTAGCCAGCAGCAAAGATTGAAGAACATTCTTAAATTGTATTTAAAAAAATCACACATCCATCAAGCACTAGTCAGGGGCTGCTTTGCACCGAACAATATTTCTGCACAGAACAGATATCAATGTAGGACAGCCATCAGAGTCACAATCCAGAGGGAAATAGACAAAGAGGCACTGTGCAATTGGCAGTCCAGGGAACCCGTCTGCTTTCCAGAAATATAGTCCCTGGATCCTGTCTCCTTTATAGCATGCACATTACTTAGTTTCTCCTGATATGAAAATACAGGTGAAAAGATGCTTTAGCTAAGGGTTAAGATGCATGATCAGCAATCCTATATAGGACAGTAC